AGGGAGACTTGACGCTATTAACCATCGTCTCAAAGTGCTTGAACGTCTGAGTGTAGATAATGCCGAACATTTAGATGGTAACGTCAAAGCACATCAGTTATGGTGTGCACTGAAAGCATTACAAGATGCAGTCGAGCAACCTCACCGAACACCATTTGCAGAACAAATTCAATCATTGAAAAATTTCTCTTCAGCCGATGAAGTAGTGTCAACGGTTTTGTCAACAATTGATGATTCAGTTGCCATCAACGGTATTGATTCTGTTTCTGAATTGTCGGCGCGATTTCTTACCGTTAAAGAAGAAGTTCGGCGGGCTTCCTTAGTACCCGAAGACGGAGGTGTCTTGTCTCATCTTCTGTCCATTATAATGTCTAAAATCATGTTCCGTAAACATGGTTACGTGGATGGGAATGATGTGGAAGCTATACTTGCTAGGGTTCAATATCACCTCAACGAAAACGATTTGGACAATGCCACGAGGGAATTGAATCAGTTAAAAGGATGGCCGAAAAGGTTGGCTGAAGATTGGATTAAATCAGCTAAGAACCATTTAGAAGTCAAACAGGCTATTGAGGTTTGTGATAATCTATTAGTCATCTTGCTGCAATCAAGTCAAGTACTCATTTATTTTTATTGACTATTCCTCTTTCTTTTTGCTATTGCAACTGAATAGGTAATCGAGGCACAAGCAACATTATCTAGCATTTCTGTTATATAATTAAATTTCTTGATAAATGTAAATTATCGCATTTAATAAATACCTAAAATTTTATGCGTTATAATAATATGCAAGTCTATTGAAATCACGTTAATTTTCGACTCTTCTCTACAAACCTTATCGCACTTAAATTTTTCATTCTCACATATTTTCGGGTGGCGTTGATCTCTCCAACTCAAAAATCCTTTCTAATAAAGCAATTCGGTCGTTATATTTTTTAGCCTCTTCTGTGGTAAAAATATCGTCTTTGCGTTTGCTTTCACTAGCAGAACCTTTTGACTCGAGTTCCCTTTCAAAGGTTTCTTTAGCAAGTTGCTGAAGGAAATATGATCAACACACTCGAATTATATTGATCATCCTACAATTATAAAATTTCCATTTCTGAATATGGTGAAAACTTGGGAATCTACGTACCAAGTTCAAATAAAGTTCATCACACACTTCATTGAATTGCCTCCTAAAGGATTCTAATTGTTCTAAATCTTCTCGCGAAGGTTCAAAAGGAACGGCCTGTCTCGAACTAAGGAAGAATAAGACGCGCACCAATCCAGTACGTTTTTAAAAAGATATAAAAGAAGTATGCAATTTAAAATTTACTTTCTTTGCCCTTGCGAAATTTTCGCTTCGAGCATATTACCAGTGTAGCCGTATATTGCCTACAATAAAAAAAAAAAAGGTTTATTGTTTATTGATCAGGAGTACAAACTTCTCTGCGAGGAACGCACATTCAGTGAGGTTCTCAGTAATTTCAAATTTGAATCGAGATCAGTCAAAGGTTTTGAAGACATTTTAAAAGCTCACGTATGTGAGGAGTCCAACTCTTATTAGAATTTTTTCACGTGATGTTACATAATGCATTGTACTGCGTATAATTTTGTCATATAGCACTATTTTTAAATATACAATAAATGCTACTAATGCTACTTTACATCGTGAGATAATAGTTTTAGGGTTCACATTATAATATTCTATATAATGAATACTACTTATAAAGACATGTACGTTCTTAATAATTAAGTTTAATAGTATCTTATTCGACTCTCCCAAAATTTTGCCAAGGGAAGTGATGCAAATGTGATGCGGTTACATTCGCACTCGTCTGTTCGCTTAAAGGTTTGACGGGAAAAATAAAATTCACACCGTCGAGTCCGAGGAAAGTATCGCCTTTCCCGGTGAGCTTTCTGATTCGTCATTACCATGATTTTTCTTTGACCTTTTTTTCAGTGAACTAGTCTTTGCTGATTTTACAGTTGACGAGGTTGAGGAGCTCCTAGAAAACCTATCAGGCTTGCGCTTTCTTTTAGGTGAAGATTCACTCGAAGACGATGACATCGAGCTGATCGAGGAGTCATCAAAATCTCTTTTCGTTTTTACAGTTTTTGTCGGCGTATTCTTTGATGATGGTGAACCGATCGAAGAAGACTCATCAATTCCCTTTTTCATTTTGCTCGTTTTTGTCGGTGTATTCTTTGATGATGATGATGAGCCGATCGCGTTGTTAACACCATCCTTGATAATATTCCTCTTTTCTTTTAATTCTTTGCGACGCTTATGTTTTTCTATGATTCTTTGAACTTTTTCCATTATTCCAATTTCCTTTTTTGAAGGTATAAGACATTCAGAGTGTTTAGGCTTATTTGTACGCTTCTTTGATTTTGCTTCTATTAGTTGTCGTTTTGATGATTTTTTTACATGTTCTTTATCGCCTTCTATTTTATCTTCATTACTTGAAAATTCATGCTTCATAGATTTCTTGCCTTTTGACTTATTCGAAGGCACAATAGGATTTTTACGAGTTCTAGCCTTTGTGACTTTGGTAGCTAAATTATTCTTAACTTCGGTTGCTTCCTTCATCGGGGAATTATATTTGAAAAACCTGTAAATGGTCTCCGGTGGCTGCAGAGTACCGGCACCAAACAATCCCGGCGCAGTGCCTGGCCTTGATATGGCATAAAATGCTGACTCTGGTCTCTTTTCATTTGACAAGCTTTCTAAGAATTCCGCTGTTTCTTTTATAACCAATTCTTCTAAAGTTTCTTCTTCCTCCAAACAATTATCCCAATATCGAGATGGTGAATTTATTGGTTCCGATTGTTTCACTAATTGTGGAAAATATACTATATTATTTGACTTATTACTCAACGGTATTTCAAAGTTAATATCTTCCTGCGTATTAATACGGAAGTCGCTTGTTATATCGGACATGTTAGGCGTGTGAATTATGAAACTTTAAATTGGTTTATATATGTGCATCCGGTGGCTTAGTATCAGAACTGATCACGTCTTAAATAAGACGTATATCACGTTTACACATTATATTTTTAAAAAACCATTATATACTGTAGTATATAAAGTATACTAAAAATAGTAAACTTGTTTTAATAAAAAGTATTCAAATGTTTAAATAAAATACATATTTCAATTGATTTATAAGAAAATATATATATACAGTATATATTAAAGTACCAAAAATGTTAAATAAAATAAAAATTAATTTTTTAAAAATATTATAAAATAAGATAAAAATAAAATAAAAATAATTAATTAAAAAAAAAATAACTTTTTTTTGTATATAACATTTTTCTTAAAAATTTTCTTTTATAAAAATTTTTTTAATTTTTATCTTTCAATATACTAAAGTTCTTTACATTTTTTCTATCTTTACAGAAGCCTCAAAGTATATTAATATATTAAAATAAAATTTCTAATAATAAAAAAGCAAGTTTAAAATTTTTACTTTTTCTTTGTGTTATATGAAAAAAAGTTCATAACAGTTAATTCTATATAAATTTTTCTTAAAATTCTTTTTATTTTCACTTCTTACCAAAAAACAAATAACTATTTTCTTTTTTTGAAAAGTTGTTTTTTAACTTAAAAAAAAATCAAATTTTATATTAATATTGAAATATTAGTAATATGTATAATATTTGCTTTTTAATATTATTTAATATAATATACTATATTATAAAAAATTTTCATTAAAAAATTATAATCAGTTTACTTTTATTAATTAATTTTTATTTCAAACTCAATCAATCAAACAATATTAAATATTAAAACAAATTTATATAATTAAAATATTATATAATAATCAATATAAACAAAATTAGTTTTAACAATAATAGTTAAACCAAAATCATATCATCAATTAATAACCCAATTACCTTATTAACTATTAATTATATTAATATAATAATAATTATAATTATAATAATAAATCAAATTATATGTACTTTATTATTTATATTAATAAAGATTAAATTTACAAGTAAAAAAAAACCAAAAAAACAGAATAATAAGTTTGATTAAAGTTTTTTTGAAAATATAATTTTTTTTCTTATAGATTTTATTATTTATTTGATTTTATTCTAGTTTTAATTATCTTTATTTTTTTCTTTTCAAAATTTTTTTATATGGGTAATTATTTTTGAAGGTGACAAAAATGCTAAATATGATTTTTTCAGATCCAGCTTTTAAACAATATATATATAATATAAATTTTAAGATCATATTAGAAAATTTTCAGTCCACCTTCAAAAATAATTACCTATATTATAAATAATTTTTTTAAATAGATAAGTATAACTATTACTTGATTTATATTTAATAATAATATTGTTTTAAAATTTTTTTTCAGTATTAGTTATTTATAATATTAATAAATAGATTAGCATTTAGCTTATTATATACTTTATGCTTAAGAGATGTTATTTTTTTCTAAATGTATATTTTGTAATATACAAATAAATAAAGAAATAATATCTATTTATTGAAAAAAAAAAGAATCAAATAATTAAAAATATAATATAATTAAAATTTTATTAAAATAAATTATAATAATAAACTAAATAAAAATTTTATATATACTGTATATATATAATATATTATTTTTTTTTTAAAAAAAAATCATAAAAGAAATATTAGTTAACAGCAATTAATATTTTTTAAAAAGAAAATAAAAGAATCTAAAAAATTATATAAAACTTGATATTAGTAATAATATTAGAATATTAACAATATTATTTTACTTTTAAGATTTAGTAACTGACAATAATATTAATTAGCAATTTTTTTAAAAAATAATAATAAATAAAAAGTATTTTTAAATAATATAAATATTTTTTATATTTATATTTATATTATATTTATTATTTTTTATTTATATATAATTCAATAGTTATTTCAAGAAATAATTTTTTTTATCTAATTTTTATAATTTTCATATAATTTTTTTTATCAAAAATTATATCAAGTTTATCTTATTAAAAGATCTACTATATTCAATATATCAATTAATACTAATACAATTTTAAAAAATCAAAACAATATAATAATTTATTAAATTAAAAGAATATATAATCAATGCTCTATACAGTATACATATTGTTGAAATTTCTAGATTTTTGATATAATTGATATAATTATTTGACATAATTAATTGAGTCACAATTAAAATATATAAATAATTGAGATATATTATAATTATTTTTGAGAATTTTGGAAATTAAGTTAATAACAAATTATTTATGTTACATATATAGTATAAATGTTAATTAATATATTATAGATTATAGATTTTTTAATAAAAATAAATAGAATATGGTTTTTAATAAAAAAAAATTAAATACTATTTCTTATAACATTTTATAAAAAAAAAAAACTTTCTAAAAAATCAATTTTTTATAAAAAGATATATATACTGTATATAGGGTTTTTTTTTAATATTATTGTATTAATAATTTTTATAAAAAATAAATTATTTATAGTTTACAAAAATATGAAAATTATTTTATAAATTATTTTATAAATTTTATTATTAATTTAATAATAAAATTTTAATTTAAACTTTTTATTTAACAAAAAATAATAATCAATTAATCGAGAAACTGGAAGATGCCTCTCAAAGATGTTAAGGAATGCGTGAAGATACGAAGTCGCTTTATACCATCCCTGATTCAGATAGCTTATTGAGTAATCACTTTATTTTAAAAATTGCTATACAAGTCGTACCAGATTTAATACATTTGCAAAAGGATGATCCGAAAAAGTATAAAACGTATAATCTTGTATAATAAATTTGTGGAAAAATGGTTTGAGCGATTTCAAAAACGTTTAAGATACATTTAATTAGATAATGTTGTTGTTGAAAAGTCTTTTAGAAGGTTATGTGAATTACGCGACATTGTATGGATTTAATAGAATTGACAGTTGAAATGTTTAATACCAATGAAGTAGTAGTAATATATTCAGACACAGATAACACAAACCCATGTCGATTGGCATGCCAAATTCTTTGGATACAAAGATTTGATGATATGTTTATTGCGTTACAAATCTCCTTAAAGTCGCAATGGTACGAATATCGATTGATCCATAAATCTTTGTTCCAATATTTTGTTGCTCGAGGCAATTTGTAAAGAAGCTAAGGAATTTAATACTACATGATCATGGGGTTATTCACTTCTAACCGAGTACGCGTAAGAGGATAGAGGTTCAAAAGATTTACAACAGACTAATAAATTCAAAGAGAATCCTTTGACATTATTGAGAAATCGAAAGAAGATGTTAACCAGAAATCTCCGCGAAAAATGTTATCACAATTTTAAATAAATCCGGAATGGTCTTTAATGGGAAGGAACTAAATGAGATTCCCATTGTCAAAGCGGATTTAAGCTATGGCTTGTTTGATTATACACAATTTAATGGGATAGATTTGAGTAATGTTAATTTCCAAGGAGCATAGTTGCGGAAAGCAGATTTTAGTATGCTAATATGTCGGGCGTGCAATTCAGAGAGCTACCTTTTTTATATCATAAGGACCGGTGTTGTTGCTGCTGCTATTCCTAAAATGGACGTTTTCTTGCCATCTTTACAATGTCGAAACGTTAGAAAAGATACATACTTTCAAAGGACATACTAATGCCATTCAGATTGCGGCCTTCTCTCCAGATGGCATTATACTACTGGCATCTGGCAGCTTAAACGAAATGGCGCAGTTGTAATCTCTCGAGAATTTAGATCCAAATCTATGTATTATAAAAGAACATATTAATAGTGTTAATAGTTGACTTTCTCATAGGATGGCACCCAACTTGCATCGAGCAGCTTAGACAAGTCAGTATCTATACTTTATAAAGGACATACTATTATTTTCCGAAACAGAGCGAGGGACATTCTATGTTTATGATCCTTGGTAAAAATATAGATCACGTGTGGATTCTGTCCGTCCGCATGTTTAACACATTATTTTATTTTTTAAAAATAAATTTATTAGCTTCGGACTTCCATTTCTTAGTTGTATTACCGAGTGATTTGACCAAGAGATGTACGCAATT